ACGGGTAGGGGCCACCACCGTGTCTTCTTAGCGAAGCGTTGGAAACACTCTCCTTTCCGTGCAAGCATTACATGGTCAGCGCAGCATGATAAGCGCTACAGTCCTTAGAATTACTTATGTATGCCTTTTCTAGTAAAAGACAAACATGCAGATTTGCCAAGTCTTCCGGATTACCCGTACAATGTACAAATTTTGACCCCTTCGTACGGTTGACGCAAAAATCTTCCGGAAGATCTTCCGGGAAGCGTGCAAAAACGGTTTTGCGGAAATTTTTAGCCGTTTTTAGCAGAAAATATACTGTTGGCCTGGCAACTTTGGTGAGACTAATCAAAACCAACTGCCATCGCCATCACTCAGTTGATCGAGCTTGCGATGTTCGCCATGTTGTGCTTTGTTAGCGGTTGAGTTGGCGTGCTTCGGAGCAGTGGTGTTGGTGTCTTGGTTTGCTGTCAGCCATGGCTCTTAGTAAAGAGCGGGAGCGAAAACAGTACTTACAGGTGTTTTTGAAGCAGTACACATCCGAATTCCCCTGCATCGTGGAATCGAGGAAGGGCAAGCATTTTGCGTTCTGCGCGGTGTGTGGCTGCGATATCAGCGTTTTTCACGGAGGCAAAACCGACGTCGCGCACGTTTCATCCAAGAAACACGTAAGTCATGTGCAATGCCAAGAAAAGCAGCAGCAGCTGGGACAGTTTTTTTCAAAGCGGAACTCTGATAGTGACGTGATCCGAGCGGAATGTCTCTTCACTGGGTTTCTGCTGGAACATAACCTTCCATTGACAGTCTCTGACCACGTGGGTCCCCTGCTACGAAAGATGTTCCCTACTTCGGATGTCGCAAAGCGGTACAGCTGTGCGAGAACCAAGACAAGTGCAATTGTTGGCGAGATGACAAACCATACTCAGGAGCGCATAGTGAGTTCCTTGAAGCAAAAAGTTTTCTCGGTTGCCATCGACGGCAGTAATGGTAGCCACTCGCAGTTGTACCCGATCGTGGTGACATACGTGGGGGAGTCTGGCTTAGTTGAGAGTCGACTACTTTCTTTGTGTACGTTGACGGGACAAGCAAGTGGTCGCAACATAGGCAACCTAATTCTGGAGGCTCTCGCGTCGTTTCATATACCGGTTCACGAACTGTGTAGCGTTTTGTTCAGACAACGCCAACGTGATGCTTGGTAAAAAAAATGGCGTGGCAGCGGTGCTGGTGGAAGTCCAAGAAAATTTGATTAAAATCGGGTGCGCATGCCACTTAATAAACTTGACAGCTGAGAAGGGAGCAGTGTGCCTTCCAGCAAAAGTGGACGAAGTTCTTGTAGATATATTTTATTACCTGGGAAAGAGTGCTAAGAGGAAGGAGGCCTTGAGGCAGTTTCAGGACATTCATGATGCAGACTTCAGAAAAATCTTGAAACATGTCCCAACTCGATGGCTATCTCTTGGGAAATGCTTGACCAGGCTCCTGGATCAGTGGAAGCCTCTGTTGAGCTTCTTCTTGCACGAAGTGAAGGACAAAAAGAGTCCCAGCTTTCTGGACTCATACCAGATCCCAAAGGCAGCAGCAAAGCAACAGCTCCAGCAGAAAAGCCTGAACAGTGCAAAACGAAAAGAACTTGACACAGGCTCCTTCAGTGCCAGCGAAGAAAGCCAAGGTTTCCTGCACACAGAAGACTGACCAGCACTGCCCAACACGTGAAGAACAGCTTTTTGTTTTCCTCAGCCTGGAAACCAACCGAGCATATTGTCTCTTCTTGCAGAATATTATTCCCATTTTCGAGAAAGTGAACCTCTCCTTGCAAGCACAAGCTCCCCAGATCCACTTGCTACGGTTGCTTCTCTTGGAACTTCTTCGAGACATTTTCTCAAGATTTGTAAACCCATCGTGGCTGAAACAAAGCCCAGAGCTGCTCGACTTGGGACTACCATAGCAGGAAGGCACAGAAAGGGGACGAGGACCTCATCATTGGACAGGAAACTAGGACTGTGGTAGACAAGCTAAAGCCCAGTGAGCAACAGGAGTTCGAGGCAGTTCGGCACTACTTTGTGACAGTGTGCGACTACATGTGACACAAGTTTCCCCTGACAGACCCTGCTCTGCTTAATGCAGAGGTAGTTCAGCTGAAAACCCTGGACACCATGTCCTTCCTAAAGGTGCGCTTTTTTGTTCAAAAAAATTTTTAAAAATGCCCCCCGGGCAGGGTCTTCCTAATTCTGTGTCACAGTACTTGGCAGGTCTGAACATGCAGAATATATACGTGTTGTTATGGTGCCTTAGATATGCGCAATAATTGCTTTTTAATTGGCAGTCGCATACGTATGAACGCTGATCCTTGACTTGAGGAACATTGGTGAGCGCTGCGGATGGGGTCGGCCATTCGGAATATCAGCAGGTGCCGTTTAAAGTACCCGGCTCTCAGTATCGATTGATAAACAGACAAATGTACAGACAGACCAAAGTGTTTTTTTGGTGAAGGTCCCCAAGAAAGACTATCGTCCTTAAAAAAAGCTGCCGTGGTGTGTTGGTTTTCTCTCGGTTGGATATCGGTTGGAGAAGCAGATCGGTTGGATACTGATCTGCTTCTCCCCGCGTGGAGACGCTCCTCCTTTCCCGTCACGTGCTAGCCATGCTGCGGCTGCAAAGCGGAGAGCGGGAGGCTCTGCTACGCAGCAGTCATTGTTGTCGTCGTTTAGAAAGTGTCGGCACTCGACATTTTCGCGTGCAACTTCTTTTGCCAGGAGAATGCTGAAGCCGAAGTAGAAATGCTTTGCAAGCTGCATGTGAAATTGATTGGCTCGCTCCAAGGCAAACGTGTGCAGACGCGCATCACCGATTACTTCAGTTAATAACGAATGTCCTGTGATTTGTGAATAAATGTAAGTCTTCTTAAAGTTCCCCCTTGGGTGTTAGCTCTATGCACATGTGCCACTGCATGGAGAGCCCTCCGTTTATTTAGCTTTCATTAATTCGAACAAATTTTTCGAGCCCCTTCGAGTTCGAATTATCGAGATTCGACTGTACTTTTCATCCAAAAATGTCATCGCTGTTCGTTGCCGGCAAGTGGTTGTTGCGCCTTCTGCTGCCACAACAAGTCTGGTGATGGCCGAAAGCTCTTTATGATGCCGCCCGTTAAGCACAACGAGCTGCGACAAAGGACATGGTTACATAGAATCGGAAATGAAAACTTCAAGTCGACATTTTGGAATTAACATTGCAAAGTTGCATCCTCTCATTCGATGTTTGTTCAATTCAATGCCTGCTCTAATGCCATCAACAAATCGCAGTTAATTGTGCAAAACGTCGCGATATTTCACTCAGGTTTCATTAATGCTTCTGCTAATGATTCTTTCTTTTTTTGTTAACAATAAGTCAACAATAAATGCTTATGTGTTCTGCTTGTCGTTATGCAGCCGACTGGTCTGAGTTCATGGCACTGGTGGAGAAGGGATTGTTTCTTGGCATTAGTGGCACACCCGCAGCTTCCAGTACTGCGCATTTGGCATTGTTCATTGTGCCAAATTTCTGTAGTGGATGTGCACATTCACTTGAGATCGTTAAAGGCTAACTGCAACGAAATTTCACTTGGGCGGAAACGGCCATAAATACGTAGTATATATACGCTAAGTTACGATAAAGACTGTGAAAAATTTTGCAGTCGCGTATTTACTTTATAATTGGTGCTCTAATTGCCAGCAAGCAGACGACGCATAGCTCTACCGGTGTGCCCAAGCATATCTGTCAGAACCGGATATGACAATTACTAAAGAACGTCGCCACGTCGCTCCCTGTGAGCAATCCTCCTTGCCGCTGAATCCCTCTTTCCTGCGTTGAAACCGCTTTCAGTGCAGTGCGTTTGAAACGCGTCTGTGCATCTGTGCTGCCTTGGGACCGCCCTAAGACAGCACGTTCAAAAAGCGTTCATGCGGCATTGAAGTTGATGGCAAGTTGCATTCAAGTCAAGCAGCGTTTCTCAATACGGAGGTGAGACACTGCAAACCCACCAGTGGGAAGGAAGTCCGGACCAGCGTGCTATAAGAGGCATGTTCATGCAGCTTTCTGAAGTTAACATAGTAAAAACACACAGTCCGTGATGTGCGTGCTCGAAGAGCGCGGAGGAGACGATTTTTTTGTCGTTCACATCACTTTTGGTCGGCCGTAATTGCATCATTTTTTCTAGTTTCGGTCTCAAAAACACCATCGTTTGCGAACTTTTTTCCAAGGTAAGCGCTTGTATTTCGAAGGCGACATTTAGCAGGCAGCACTACATCTAGCGAGGCTACCTATATACTGCCACCTCTTTCTAGTAGTGGGTCGTATGCCAAGGTGAAGGCTCACACCACAGAGAAGAAAGAAGTGGCAATATTCCCCCTCAATAACAAAAAAAAAAAAGCATCGTCCTGATGCTGTAAAGTTATTGAAAAAAAAAAAACAAAGTAGTTTTTTTTTTTATTTGTGCTCCAACAATTGCCTCATCATTGGTAAACTTATCGCGTCTAACATTTGATTATTGGTGCCCTTTTTCATTGTTTAAACTACTTTTTTTTTTTCAATAACTTTACAGCATCCGGACGATGCTCTTTTTTTGTTATTGAGGGGGAATATTGCCACCTCTTTCTAGTAGTGGGTCGTATGCCAAGGTGAAGGCTCACACCACAGAGAAGAAAGAAGTGCACGTGGGCCCTCGCTCTGGAAAACAAGCCCAACCGACGCGCTTGGTTAGAGCCCTGTTGATCAGACGTCAGTAAACCTTGTCGACACCCCCTGGAGTGACGTGACAATATTGACTTTTTGCAGAGTGCCAAATTTCGTACCAGTTGGCCTTTAAGGACTTTCAGATGTTGTTTAGGGGCTCTTTAATGCCAACATGATGAGATTGTTCACTGTCTGGCGCATAACATCCAAGCAGCCATTTCGGAGATAAGAGTTTTGCTGAGTGGTGGCTCATTTTCAAAGTGCCATCACGTGCTGCTATCTTGTGCAAAGTCCTGATGCCTGTTACTCACCAGGTCCGCAATGGCAGCCCAACGGCAGTGGCCATGATCGACCAGAAGGCTACCGGGGACCCCCAAGGCAGTCGGGGTCTGGACCTCGGGGAGGACAACACCAGGGTATGTGGTGCTTTCTAATAAACCGTAGTCCACTTGATATAGCTTTTAAAGGACTTCAATAACCAAACAAAGGGGGAGGGGGGGAGGCCATGTGCATAATTGGTATAAGAGGCCCTGCAATACAAAGCAAGCATGTCGTTATCATCACTGCTTCTAAAACTGTAGAATGCACCTAACTGGCTTGCCACCTTCCCTCCCCCTCCCTAGAAAAAAAGGCATGCTGCACTGACCTAGAGAGATGGCAACTTTTGTCAGTAGAGGCCTAGAGTACTGCCTCTGTGATTCTACAGTTAGTAGCATCACACGTTTATCACATGGGCCATTCTGTGCATGAGGGCAAACCGTCGTCATCCCTCTTTTGTCGCCAACGAGCAGTGCGCCTTTGCTTGCCTTGGCACAAAGAAGAAAAAAACCTTCATCCCCTGTTCAGTAACATGCCTCGGATAACGTCCGGCTTGAAAAAAAAGTGTGTTGAGATAGCAGTGCATGGCATCTGGATACAATCGATACGCCATAAATCTATTTCACTACTGATAAAAAAAAAATTTTTTTAGAATGGGTCTTGATTCAAATATAACTCTAAGGTAGTATCTCTGGGATACTGTCGCAATACTGCCCAGCTTTGCTTGTGTGGACAAGAAAAAATTTCATTTGTAGCATAACTGTAAAGTACGTTCTTTACCTATTTTTGTTCTCCCTCCTTTTCCTCTGTTGTGCTTAAAACCCCAACATCCAGGTAAGTAACTTACCCTTCTTATGAAACATGTTGTACCGTTTCTCTAGCTTTGGTAGAGAAGTACGCACGTAGCCTACTGTGTTCGAAATAACTACAGTCGAGCCCGACTATACCGAACCCATTTATATATTATCCCGTATATCGAACAATTCCTAAACACAGTAAGTTTGCATTGAGAATATAGAGCAAAAGTTACTGTTTTATCGAACGAAAATAGCAACGACAACTGATATTTCAAACTCCATGTGCCTCAAAAGTGCCCCAGCAAGTTGGCTTTCTCTCGCGGTGGCGGGGAACACTGCCGGCGCCACCCTAGAAAAAGTTGGTTAGACCCGGTTGTGCGCGGGCGAACACCCCCTCCAAGGAATGATCCTGGCCCGCTCCCAGCGCTTACAGCCAATCAGAGGCCGTTGCGCTTTCTCGGAGGCGGTAGAAGTGAGCGCCATTTTTTCTTTCTTTATGTATGTGTGCCTGCTGCTGCCGATTCAGCGTGGTCTGTGGTGTTGCCTGTTGGTGCTCTGTGAACTGTATTGGCGCCCTGTCATCATGGCTTGCGCAAAGAGGCAAAATTTGCCGTTCGCCGCGAAACTTGAAATCATCAATCGGGTTGAGCGCGGTGAAAAGAAGTCCGACGTCGCCGCCGTGTACGAAACTCCAAGGAGCACCTTGAGTACTATTCTGAAGAACAAGGCAGACATCGGGGCCAAGTCGGACAAAAGGCCAGGTGCCCGTGGCACCCGACGTGTGCGCGCTGCTGTGTACAAAGATGTTGAAGCGGCCGTTTACAAGTGGTTTGTGGACGTTCGGTTGCGAAACATCCCGGTGTCCGGCCCTATGATCAAGCAGAAAGCCAAGGACCTTGCTTTTCTGCTTGGCAGGAATGATTTCCAAGGCGGTTCCTGCTGGCTTCAGCGGTTCAAAGAAGGGCACGACATCGTTGGCAAAGCTGTTACAGGTGAACGCAGAGCGGTGGACATGGACAGCGTAGAAAAATGGCTAGAGGAAAACTGGCGAGATATTGCAGCAAGATATAGAGCCCAAGATATCTTCAATGTAGATGAAACCGTTCTATTTTGGCAAATGTTGCCAAACAAGGCACTTGCGTGTCGTGACGACAAGACATGCGGCGGCAAGGCAAACAAAGCTCATATGTCCGTGCTGTTGGCAGCTAATTTATACGGATCGAAAAAGCTTCGGCCTCTGGTTATCGGGAATAGCACGGCACCCGTGGTGTTTTCGAAATGCGCTGTCGCTTCCAGTTACCTACCGAGCAAACTCAAAATGCAAAACGCCGCGATATTTCACTCAGGTTTCATTAACGCTTGTGCGAATGATTCTTTTTTTTTTTTTTTGTCAACAATAAGTTGAACCACTGCAGTACGACCCTCGGCAACATCAAGCTGCGTTTTTTGCCCCCGAACACTACGTCTGTACTGCAACCACTGGATCAAGGCGTTATACACGCAATGAAAGCCGGCTATCGGAAGCGCCTGGTGGAGAGGCTGCTGCAGAACCTTCGTGTCGGCAGGGAGCTTAAGATCGAATTGCTCGGAGCTATTTCTATGTTGAGTAGGTCGTGGGCAGGTGTCAAGAAGGAGACGATCCAGAACTGCTTTAGGCATGCCGGCTTCCGCATGCCTGGTGATGACACCCCAAATTCTGACAGCACTGAAGACACCGCAGGTGTTTCCACCGAAGTTCGGAACGAGCTGGCAGAGTTCCCGGGTGCTATCGACGGATCGACATTCGACGAGTTCGTCAGTGCGGACTATGTTCCCATCATGGGCCAGTTACAGGATGAGGATTACATTGCAGACGTCGTGCTGACCACGAGCCAAAGCGACAGCAATATGGAAATCGACGACGGCCCATTGCCTACATCCTCCGAAGTGATTAGTGCACTTGCGCTGGTCCGGCGCTATTGCTTGAATGTGGAAAGTTGCGGCCTCAGCTGCTCCGACTCGGTCAACGTGGAAGCGTGCGTGCTGTCGCAGGCAGCGAAGTCGTTGACACAGAAAAAAATCCAGGACTATTTTGTTCCACAGTAGGGCACGCAAGTAAGCCACGATATTAATAAAGTACTTTTCTTCTAGTTTGTTATGTGCCTTTGTGTCAAAACCTATACCGGGCCTATATCGAATTATGCCATATATTGAACTAATAAACGTTTTTTGGCGAGTTCGATATACCCGGGTTCGACTGTAGATGAATAAACTTTCCCTGGTAGGCTTAGACAAGGGCTGAGAACTAGACTAACTATTTGCAGTTCAAACCCTGCTTAAGGAACAATAATGGACATGCACAAAACAGTTTTGTAAACGTACTGAACAAGGGATAAAGTGTTTGCGTGTTTCCTTAACGATATTTTGTCTTTTTTGCAGGACGTGGCCGCCCCACAGGGAACCGGGGACCCCCTCGCAACACCGGCGTTCCAGCTGCCGCCTACGCCCAGTAACGGCTGTTGCCGTTGAGATGCTTCTTCGCCCAGTCGCCCCAGGAGGGCACTGCTACCAATGCAACCATCTAATGACTCTGCCGCCTGTCTGGGAGCTGTTGCCTCTGCTGCCCCTGTTCCTATCAGCCTTGATTTTTCTGTTAATGTTATAGCCCTCCCTGTACTCCCAGACTCTCTCTCTCTGCAAGTTTTTCATTTTTTATCCTTTCTTTGTGTGTGTCGTGCCTGTACCAGTCTGCCAGGGGCAGTGGAAGGCCTTCCTCCCACCCTTCTTCGAGACGGGCGAGGGAGGTGCTGTATTAAAGAAGGTCATCTCTCAGGCGTGCGTGCCAGGACCAACAACAACCCTCGCCCTCTCTCATTCTGCAGAGAGTTTCGTGCATACACACATTGTTTGTTCCCCTCTCCACTCTTTTTTTTTTCCTCTTCCTGTTTCTATGCGGAAGTGGATGCCAGCAATTGTTGCGCGTAAGGCTGTTTGCGTGTGTGGAATGCGTGCGAAAGCATGCCGAGGCAAATAAAGAGAGCTGAGGTGGATCGTCTAGTTTAAAAAAAAAAAATGCCCAAGTGTTTCGTCTCATTCCTGGCCTGCCTCACGCTCAAAACCTTTTTTCATTCTTTTTATTGACGCTCGTCTCACAGCCATGGTTATACAAACTTTTGTGATAAAATCGTCCATGGAAGCCTGGTCAGGCCTGAAATCAATAAGCACTTGCAAGCATAGAGTTTTCTATAATTAACTAGAGGGGACTCTGGCGCTTCGATCGGACCATGAGAATGATGGGTAGTACACACGATTGATTGCCTAGTCTTCGTACTTGCGGCTTCGCTAATTGCTGGTTACAGTTTTGTTTTGAAGAAAAGAATGAACCCTTTTTAATTTTGTGAACCGATTCGAAGGGGTACGCCTGAAACAATAAGGTCGTGAAGCGCACCCACAAAACTGTTGATTTTTGTTTCGTCGGAAAACGGCTCCAAGCCACACGAACACGTATGGAGCCAGAAGCAGGGCAGGTGTATGATGATTAGACAAACCTGTGTACTACCCATCATTCCCATGCTTGCTGAAGCGCGTGTGTTGCAGCTCCCATAGACACTAGCGCCAGAGTTCCCTCTATTATATATTAGAAAACTCTGCTTGTAAGGTCAGTGGAAAATGCTTTGTATTGCGAGAAACAGTACGGGCATAGCAGTCTTGGACCATAGTGAAGTGCCAACTCTGTCTGACAAACCTCTATGCCCAGTTTGCGTGAGCCAGACAGAATTTAGACAAGTTCAACAGAAACTAAAGCCAAAATATTTTGAGCAAATTTTAGAGTTTGGTCTATTTCCACTTGGTACAAACGCATGTTATGTAGAGCTGAAAACGACGAGCGCGAAGTTGCCTTAATGTCGTGAGGTAAATCCTGATTACATACAAGGGCGCGTAGATAAAGGTGTTATGTGTCTTGAATTACTGAACGCCGACTGCGTTTTTAAAATGTATTGATATACGTGCAGTAAAACAAAACTAAACATATTTCGGATCTTCTCGTGAGTAAGCGAAGCGTGGCCACCGCGCTCGGCCATCGGACATGTGCGCGTAGTGTAGTGAATGTGCAATATGACGGCCAATTTGGTGGTAGTGGCACTGGTTCGTGTGCAGATGGCACATTTTTTGCTGCCACGGTCACGTCTTTTGTGTGCTGCGACCGTTCTCTGCCCCACACAATCCTCTTTACTGTGCTTGCTGACCCAAAAGATTTCTTCTATCTTAACCAGAGAAAGCCTCCGGTTTGCTACTCTCCGCCAATGAAGGAGAAAGGGGATTTAAATTAATGAAAGTGAAGAACAGTCTGCCACGACGGCAGGTGACGAACCTCAGTTTTAACTTGCACTGTCGAAGTACCTCACAGCAAGATAGTCTGCTGTGTTGTAGTTTCATGCTTGTATTAAAAGCCAGACATTGCCTCTGTTATTCACTTATCCCGTCTCGATCAGTGAGACGGGATAAATGAAGGAGGAAAAAAATTATTTTGGTTAGGCCATCGTCGCGTCCTGGCCTGCCTCACGCTCAAAACCTTTTTTTCATTCATGGATAAAGAAAAAAAAAACATCACTCGTAAGCAAGCTGGTGCAGCTGTAAGGCTATCGGTCCTCGTGAATGAGATATGTGACAAGTTACAGTTGCAAATTAGTGGCAAGCGTGCAAGTGACCATACACGGTGTAGAAATTAACTGGCAAGCTGCTTGTTGCAGAGTTAAAGTGCAGGAGAAATTTCGTAATTACGGGGTGTTCTGATCTATGGTCTGAAGCACCGTACATACTGGCGAGCCCTCGATGGACTCGAGGTCCGAGACAGATAAGAGGGCCGTTTCTTTTAAAGGTGATAGTCTTTCTTGGGGACCTTCAACGCCAAAATTTTGGTTTGTCTGTACATTTGTCTTTTTGTGCGCGGTAACAATCCCTTTAATGGCACCAAACGGCCAACCCCATCTGCAGCGCCCACCAATATTGCTCAAGTTTCAGCTTTCATACTTGTGCGACTGTCAATGAGGCACCACAACACATCGACGTTTTGTGCAGGACGCTCCTGCTGAAAATTCACAGCATGTGATGATCGCCGGGAATTCGAATTTAAATGGATGCACTGAAGCAAACAGAGAGGGTAAGAGGTGACAAGAGGGTTGCAGTATAGGGACGTTCCCAGGACGTAAGCTGGAAGCAGTCTCGAGGCGAGCGCAAAACTCCAAGCTACAGCTGATGGATGAAACCTCATGTTAATTGCAGGTGGTTTAAACGATGTCTTAAATGAAGATACGGCAGGACTAGCGACCACACTGGCGAAAGGGATCAATGACATGCGCGCTATTTCTCCTCTGGTACAGGTAGGGGCATGCACGATACTGGAAGTGCCGGTGCGTAACAGCAACCTGCAAGAAGCGGTTTTCAATGCAAACCAAGAGATATGGCGGATGAGTTGAGAGAAAGGCTTTGAGGTGGTGGAAATTAACAGAGGTGCATAGGTGAGGTCGTTTTCAAAGAGACAGAATTCACTTCGATGGGAGGCTAGGTCATGAGGTGGGCTGGCGACTTGCAGGATGCGCAATAGCTTTTTGGGGGGGCACGCGGGACCTTCGGGGTCCAGGATAGCTAGTAACGAGGAAAACAACTAAAGGAACTCTTAGACAGATACGGTTCCAAAGTGGCACCAATATCTAAGACACGTAGAGTCTGGGGCAGAAATCGACGTAGCCGTGAGGGTCGAACCAATTCAGACGTAGGGTACATTAACATAAAGCGTGGCTGAAATAGGCTAAAGTGGGAAGAGAGAGAAGAACAGCTAAGGGAGAAGAGGCCGATGGTATATGGTTTTGCAGAAACACATCTTAGGGACATGGGACAACGTCCTAACAATCCGGACTACGCGTGGGAATATTGTAATAGAACCGAAGGCAGCAGAAAGGGGGGGTGGTATTGGGCCATTCATTCATAGAAGTACAGACTGGCAAAGGGTCAAGCAGGAGTGCAAGGAACACTGATGGCTAAAAGGGAGGGTGGCAGGGCAAATGATGCTCTTCGGTTGTGTATACTTGTGGACAGGGGCAAAAGCCAGAGAGGAAAACCAACAAATGGTGCAGTGCATAGAAAATGACATTGACGATCTAGAAGAGTGCAAAGTAATTATATTAGGGGATATGAATGTACACGTAGAAGATGTGGATGGATATACTGACCCAACAGGCAGAATGCTAATGGATATGTGTGAAACGCATGATTTAACCATTTGCAACAGCACCGAGAAATGCGAAGGGCAGATAACATGGGAGATGGGTAGGCTGCAGTCGACGATAGATTATGCAATAATGTCACATAGGATGTATGATCAGCTAAGGGTGATTGATGAGCATAGATGAATATGGGCCCAGAAGCTTAGGTAGGTAGTGATCACAAACGTATCAAACTGAGTTTTGGAAGAGAAATGAAATTGGAAAGACGGCATTACGAGCAACCACATGGTAATACTTATTCAGAAAGGCAAATAGAGCAACCAGAGAGATTGAGAAAATAATCACTGAGGATAATAAAACAGAGTGGACGTACACAAATCAAATTCGATTGTTTGAGTTAGAGCTTGCTAAGCTACGAGTCAAATCAACCGGGAAAAGCAGACACAAACCCAAGAGCTGGTGGGATGATGAAGTCAAGAAAGCCATAGTAAGACATCAGGAAGCCTCCAGGGAACACTGGTATGCTAAACTGAGCTGCAGAATGGACGACGAGAGTGGGAACGAGACTGGGACTGGGACAACGAGAGTGGGAAAGTGCAGAGAAAAGGGTTCCTAATAGCACATCAACAGGCCCTGATGGCATCCCAATCATGCTAATAAAGAAACTAGGACGAAACTCTAAGCAAACATCAAGAGAGGCAGCGAGCGAAGTAACAATGGATGGCGAAGCTCCCAATAGGTGGAAACTAAGCAGGATGAGCATGATCTATAAAGGAAAGGGGGACAAAGCTGATATAAACAACTACCGTCCTATAACAGTGACATCAGTAGTTTACAGGCTGGTGATACAGATAGTAAAGGAAAGACTACAGACATGGGTACAGAATGAGGGGGTGCTGGGAGAAATACAACCCAGGTGAAAATTTTCTGCTGGTTCCCTGCTGGGACTTGCTGGTTTTTGATGGAACCAAAAGTGTTGCTGGTTCCCTGCTGGGACTTGCTGGTTTTTGATGGAACCAAAAGTGAGGCTGCTAGTTTCTTGCTGGTTGTACTCGTTCCAGCAGTGTGCCCATTGGTTTTCTGCTGGTTCCAGCAGGGTGCCTACTGGCTCTTTACTGGGACCAGTACACTGCCTACTGACCTGCTGGTGGTCCCTGCAAGCTGCCTGCTGGCTGTACCGGTACCAGCTACTCCTCAGTAGCATTAGTCTCGTATCTATTATTGGCGTTTTTTTTCAAACTAGTACTGAATAGTTAGCTACTTAATAACAAAAATACTGCACAATAAAAAGTTTTATTATTTATTTACAAATAAAAGCATAAGAAATAGCAGTCTTATATAACGTATAAGTTATTATGACGCCTTAGCGCCATAGTTTAGTACAACACATGTGTTCTTGTCGTCACTTAATTGTCTGTCTTTGCATTTGTATGTTCGGTGTGTTGCAAGTTTTTTCTGGAATCTGTGTGACATGATCATGTAATAGTTTATTTTGGGGTCAGTTACATCTGTGAAAAGTGCAACAAGTGGGTATCAGCCTATTTCAGCTGTTTTTGGTGCTATGCTATGCGGTGTCTTGATTTCGTGAGTGCAGATTGAGGCCCACCTTGTATCTCAGCGATCGATCTTTGATGCAAGTAAGTTGCATATTTATTTCAAATATAAGTAAACCGTGCATATCCCGAATGCTTCTGTGCTTTATTAAGCTCACTTTCGTGGTACATTGGTGTTTGTGATGTTAATGAACTCGCATATGCATGCCGGTTGCTGCAAGTAAGCCATGATCCTTTGTCTCCGTGTAATGAAGTATTAAGGCACAGGGGCTCTTCGACTTTTGCATTCCTGGGTTGGTTCTGGAGAGCCTACCCGCGGGCTCCCCGAAAGCTACCGCTGCATCCGGTTCTGATAGGAAATGACGTACGTGCACGCCCGGCGGCAGCCCGAAGGTCGCAAAATCGAACGCAGGACAGCCAGCGTAAACAAACTCTACCGTCATGGCAGCAAACAAAACGATGCGCCGCATGTATGTTTTTTTTTCTGCATTGTCCGCTTGGAAATACGTAGCTAAGCTCGCCAAAAAGCTCAAATAATATTCATGAGCGTACGCATTTGGGGTACGACTTCGTACGCTCACACGATCACTCGCCGCGTCGGCGAACGAAACAGCCAGCTGGCGCACGCTGCCTTGAGAACGATGCAAGGTGAGCTGCCGTGACGGTGACGGCTTGACAAGCTCACGTCTTTTTAGTACATGAATCAGTCACTGCACAACATGACGCGAAGTCACACGAAAGTGATCGTGTCTGTCCCCAAAAGAGCTTGAAGATATATACCTGCTCAGCTATCGCGTATCATACGTCGCAAACACACGTTGACCAACTTAAGTTTTTCTCTAAAGTTTATGATATGCGCAGGTATCAATACCACGAGTGCGCGTAGTGTATAAAATAAACATTTTCATGACACGTTCTCGACCCATTTTTAGAACTCGTCTTGGCCTGTTTTTCAGTCCTAAGTGGCACTTAACGAATGTCATGTATATCAGCTTTGATTCCACCTACTAGGTCATAGTACGTACTGCGCGGCATTAGTGCGAAGAGGAGAAAAAAGACAAAGCCAACGATGAAATGGGCCACGAAAGGATGTACACATTTCTGAATCCATTCTCAGTTTTTTTTTTCTCGCGCCGTATCGTATAATATCATACCACATATGCTGGATCATAGGTGGAAATGGGTTCGCACGCCGTTCGCAACCAGCAAGCATCACCAACAGTCGCGATCTAGAGCCTTCTATCACCACCGAAGATCAATCGAGTAGTCAGGACAGAGGTTCTAAGAGGTTCACGTACGCAAACATACGACGGAGCGAGCTAGTTTGATCACAATCGTCTTCGCTAAGTGCACAGAAAGCAGGCACAGCTTCACAAACGACTACTACGAAAAAATTTAACTTCAAAGTTGTCTCTATGCGTGCGTACGAACGTGTACTACGTACGTAACTTTTAAGGCATGTGCACGACGCAGGCAACAGTTCACCGCGTTGTTCACAGAAGGAAGCTTCACGGGAAACATAACAAATGCGATGAACAGTAGCTTCAAACACTCGCCGCCACTCGTTATCACCTCATCTCGCAAGGCGGAACAGGCTTTAGAAGATAACGCCACGCGTAATGAGAAGCAAAGGCGCAGTCCTCAAGCGGCCACATTACAATCCATCGAGTCCTCACAAAGATGGCACCGAGCGCTCGAGATGGGAAGTCCGCCTCCAGCGCATTGTCCAGTGTGTTTGCGGAAATATCCCAGCTGCGTACGCGCGAAGCCACGGACATCACACCGTCAGGTAAGCGCGCACGCGGTAAATGCGCGTTGCTGTTGCGACGCGATGTGGCGATGTTTACGGCGCGTGAGCGAGGTCGCATGAGCGATGACGGGCTGCTCTCTCGTGTCCCGTGACTCAGTACAATAACGCCCGCCGGGAGGCTCGCGAAGCAATTTGCGACCGCAGGAAGTCGTTATGCTTGCATCGTCGGCGCGACGATTTTGTTGGGAAACACGTTCGCTACGTGTGCCCGAATCGAGAAACGATCGCTAGCATGCATGTGATTGCACAATCGTAAGTGTGGAGGTATACTTTTAACTTGGTGCTCTGCGTAGAGGCCTTCGCATGACGGGAATAGTGCATTGGCGCGTTGAAGGAATTGAACAGAACTGAGAATAGCGATACTGACGTGGTATGCGGCCAGTTTTCCATATCGCTCTGTGAGGGAAGCAAGTACGCATCCGGCGATTCTGCTTCCGAGATGAAAACAAATGTTCCAAGTTTTCCCCAGTGCCTGGTTGCATGCACTTGCTATCAGATTTAGGTTGATACTAAAGTCATTCTTTGATGCACTGATTATCATCCTTCATTCCCTTGATGATGATGCCATACATCGCTTGAGCAAAACTGGAGAAAAAAAAAAAAAAAAAAACATCACTCACTTGTAAGCAAGCTGGTGCAGCTCTAAGGCTATCGGTCCTCGTGAATGAGATATGTGATTTTCAGCCCTTGGCAGGGTGCGAGTGCAGTTCGATTAATGTTTTGTTACTTGTCCACTCATATGGTCAGAACAAATTGGCACATTATATCCCATACGTAACTATGACCTGAAAGTGGGCATAACCATTTTAAATGTTTGTCACTGCTTCTGCATTCAACACGTATATCGTATTGAATGCAGAAGTAGTGACTAACATTTAAAATGATCATGTGCACTTTGAGGTCATTGTTACGTATGAGATATAGTGTGCCAATTTGACAGAATTAGTAGTGTGGATAAGGTAAATGTGAAATAGTAGTGCACATTACAAATTGGTGGCTAAAATGGCACACATTAACATGACGATTATGTGAACACTTTTGCCAATTGGCCTGGTGTGAGACCGATAGCGGCGCTGCGAACGGTGCTTGTATGACATTAGTTTGGGAATTCGTGCGTTTTCGTTTTGAAGCCTGGCGCAGTATAGAAAGCGCTGTGCGTGATAAAACTCGACAAGGAAGCAGCTCAGTTGGTTATCTGATGTGTGGTGGCTACCGTCGCGGTTCGAACAACCGTGGGTCTCCGCTTTTAACTCATTTTGAAAGCACAACTCTTTGTTTCATATAACTGCATTTGGCCACTTGTCTCCGCGGCGAGTGGTGCACAATGTTAAATGTTAAAAGGCCTGTATCGATTATGTTAACTACATTATATTGCAATTTTATTGGTTTTCCCAGGCTCATGAATAAAATATGAATTTATACTCCACCTCTCCAACATGCAGTCTTATGTTGTAATGGAAATACAAATTTTAATGTGGACATATATGAGCGCACAAGGTAGAAGGAAGGAAGCACTTGACAGAAAAAACACTCAACAAGGAAGGAGCTTTCTTCCTTCTACCTTGTGCGCTCATATATTTCCACATTATGTTGTACCAACTGGCCCAGCATTCCACTTTATTCAACAAATTTTAAAGCTGTAAAATATTTATGGTCTCGTTTTATTAACAGGAATAATGAAAATTCGTGCTGCCGCACTTAAATATTTCTTTATTAAGTTAAGAATGGTGGCAACATTAAATATTCAAACTTGTTCGGAGTTATAACAAGATTCCTAATTTAGAAACATTAACATAATGCAAAATGCAATGTGAGCTCTACAGCAACTGCAGACAAGCAGTGAACACAAGTTACACGAAGACATTGCCTCATCCTGATTTGCACGAACAGCAAGCATTCGCCATTTCGCTGCAGTTGATCACAACGGAGAGGTTGTGCGGCAGGGTCGCTAGTCTATTTGTTTGCAGGACGGGAGCTTCGATGAGGATGTGGTGTCTATTGACAGCCTTGACCGCGCATTCAACAACGTGGCCTGCATCGTACACTGCCTCGCTCTCTATGAGACACCGTGGCGTTTCACAAGCTTTGTTTACATTCTTGTAGATGCTGGAGAAAGGCGTGGTTACTCAATTATTGAAAAAAAACACCCAAACAAACTAGTATGATACGACAGAAAATGTGATAACAAGCAAAAACATGCGTACACATAGTATACACTTTCTTATCTGCAATGCCGCCGTTGGCTAAGGTGCATTCAACGGCCATCCGGGGGCTTCCCTGGCCCTGTCAATTGGGCCGCAGCTAAAACAAGATTATAATCACACGAAAACAGTTGTTGAAGGCGTTCGTTGACCCTCGCAAAGCTGTTAGTTCGACGAAGTTTCCTTCTGGAGCAGGCAATCTGCGTGCAGGAGCTGCAGTGCGGTTGAAAATGGCGTCCTCAAATTAATGTCACTGACAAGAGGGCACCACTCCAAGATCTTGAGTTCATTACTTTACTTGTTTTTGTTGTGTCACTCGGTCAACTATAAAGAATGAATGAAGTCAACATGTGGGCAGCTTTGCACAAACTGTACTGGAAAGTTGGCATCTTATTGTGATATTGATATGCTAGACAACAAAACAAGCAGTGATGGAAGTGCTGCTCCAAACTTCTCCAAAAGAGAAATGCTGCTCCAAAGTGCTATATTTGCTAGTAACTGCTCTAATCCTGCTCCAAAATGGTGTTGGCGAACCAAAAAGAATGAAGTTGAATTATGGGACCATCCCGTGAGCATAAGCAAAACCAAAAGCAAGCGGTATACACTATCATCCTAGTATGCTACTCAGTGGCGTAAATCCAGAAAAATCTCAAGGTGTGACACATACCAGGCCATGGTGTCCAATTCGTATTTTTAATATGGGTTGTATTTTTGTTGATATAGGAATTAAATCATGCTTTCAAGTAAAATCAAAAAGAAAAACGAGAATGGGGTCCGAGCTCGAGCAATTGCATTGTTCTATCCAGTCTTTTTTTTTTTCACCTTTTTTCGATTTCCATAGTTCACACAGCTGAGGGGCATTTACCACAGGTTTGCAGTAAAAGATAACAAGCTTTTTAAAAAGTTGATTGTGCTATACTTAACTGTGAACTCAATTATACTATGTGCTAATCAAGTGGGACACTTCGGGTGTCCTCCTCCACAGCTTGAACACCACAAAAGTTCAGACTCTCTTGACCCCCCCGCCCACGCCCATGATTTACGCCAACTATACTGCTTGTAATATAGCTGCATGCTAACATGCAGCATGTTTAATAATAAATATAAATATTTATTAGATGCTTAAGTGATGTTTTAGACTTCAGAGGTCATTAGGAACATTCATTTGCTCCAGAAATGCCAATAGTAACCCTAAGCTATAGCATTTTTTTTTGCTCCAAAGACACTTGAGCCTGCTTCAAAGCACCATTTTTTCTGCCCCAGAATCTGCTCCAAAAAGCTAAATGTCACTTCCATCATTGAACAAGGCTACAAGTCACTGATTGGAATAACAGAGGAGATTATACACTAGCACACCTACAACTTGACTACATGTAGTTTTCAATTTTACCTCCAAATTTTTATTTCTCAGTTATCAGCTATTTTTTTTATTTATTTACATATACTTCCGGCCCTCCTCAGGCCCATGCCGTAGTGAAACACAAGATTACAATCAGATCATGCATAGTTATACACTGAATAGCTTGGCATAATTAAAATAATATACAAATAATAGGTACACAACTGGAAAATGATATATATGTTTGTTCATATCGATTCATGACAGACAACAGAATTTCACAAATGTTTTTTTTATTATAAACAGGTCATGTAAATCATACACAAATCAAAGCATTTTTAATTTACAGCGCTTTTATCAGGAAGATTTAAACTTTTGACATGTCTCGTAGATGAAGCCGTCGAGGCAGCATTTACTGCTTCCACAGATAATGTGTTCCAGTAAAAAAAAATCGCGAGGAAGAGCGAACTTGTGGGCAATAATGTGGCTGTGTGGCTGCTGGACAGTTTCATGATGATTCGTCCTTAGTGAAACTTTTGAAGGTTGCTGAAGATAGCATTCCCCGGTAATGTGAAGTCCCCGTGGTAAAGTTGGTAGATGAATTTTAATCTGGATACTATCCTGCCTTGCCCAAGTTTTGGTAGTCTTGCCTTAATACGTAGAATTGTTACACTAGCCTGTCAGGAGTAAGCGGAATAAACAAAGCGTAGAGCTAAATTTTGAACCGTTCTAATTTTGTTAATCAAATAATGTTGCCAAGGGCTCCAGATAAAAGCTCCAGCTATAGCGTAACTTAGCTGTGAACATGATTTATACTTACGAATTTAACAGCCAGTTGTTACTTTGTGGACTTGTGTAGCAACGGTTGTTTTATAAAGAATGGGAGAACATTGTATTCGGAGAAGCTGAGAGGTCGGCTTGCAGAACACCCACATACTTGCCAGCACACATCTGAATGTTTGTGTTAAGAGGCCACAGAATTTGTTTGCCGTGTCAATCAGGTGTCGTCACATGTCGTGGAGTAACGTGCCCTACGGTGAAAATCTAATCTCTAGGCTTTTGAACCCCGTAGCTTTGCTGTCTGCCTAATATATGTGCATACACACCTGGTGGAAAAAGTTTGTGGGACGCGGCCTCCACTGCAAACGCGAATTGCCGTTGTTATACTCGGAGATAACTTTTCTTGACAGCACTGTAGAAGCTTCGGAACCAAAGCACATGTCTGCTGCCATCCCTAAACAATACTATCTAAGTTTACTGATAATTTTCTTATTTGCCTTGTTGAAATAAATTATGCTTTATTTATTATGAGACTCAAGCAGTTGTGGGTGGTTGCTGGTAAAATACAGTTTTTGCTCATGTTGCAATAATGCCTACCTTTTCTTTCTGTTTCATAGGCAGCACCACTTTTTCAGCACGTTCGCTATTGAAAGTAAGCA